TTCTTCCAACAACCAGTTCACCAAACTGCTGAGAAAGTTAACAACCGGTTCTCTGCCCTAATGATTTCTTCCAACAACCAGTTCACCAAACTGCTGAGAAAGTTAACAACCGGTTCTCTCGAGGTGGTGCGCACCGGCTGAATCCCACCACTGCATTTAATTCAGTCAGTTATTCCGTACATTTGTTAAAATGTCTGGATAAATAAAATGGTTTTATCTACTTGGTTTCTAAATGTTGGTGTCAGATCAACCTATACCATTGGTGCAGCACATAGAGACATCCATCTTTGTTATGTCAAATCTGACACAGCCTCAAATGGGACACGGCCCAGAGACTGCAGTGAAAGTGTTGGAAGAAGCCTTGAGCGTATATACGCTCTGATAATTGCTGGGAAATTTCTACTAGAGCTTGACCACCCATGAAGATTGAATTGTGATGGCAGAATAAACAATGCGCTGTCTGGAAATTAGTGTAGTCTCTGAACACATAGTTATTGTTTATCCCTGAGCTTGGGAATGTGGCAGCCTTGGGTTTTAATGAGTAACCATTTCATTTTCTTCCAGCGACAGGAAATGAGACCAACTTGAATCAAGACTAATAGACTGCTGAAAACAAATTTTGCAAATTGCACGGGTACTTTAGAAAGCTGTGAATTTCCTGTGTTTTGTATGTTAATGTGTTATTTCATCTAACCCCACAGAGGTTCTAGAGCTCTCTCAGTGGCAGTAGAAGATCAACGGAGAGTGAACATGTTGAGTAAAAGGGTTTGATTTAGGCACCTAAAATGGAAACTATAGATTAAGAAGTAGGTTTTCTGGACAAATGCATTAGATTCTTTATCCTGCCTCTCCTTCTTTTTCATATTCACACTTTTTTCTTCCAGGAGTCTGAAGCCGGACTTTGTCCTGATCCGCCAGCATGCCTTCAGCATGGCTCGTGGTGGAGACCATCGTGGCATTGTTATTGGCTTGCAGTATGCAGGCGTGCCCAGCGTCAACTCGGTGCATTCTGTGTACAACTTCTGTGACAAACCTTGGGTGGTGAGTGACAGAAGATGATAATTGAAGGAGGAACCAGATCTGTGGCACTGTAGTGTAGATTTTGTATGAGAACTTTACATCGAAAATTTAACGTTGTAAATTAAGGAACATACAGTGCAAGGCGGAGGGTTTGGCCCCATTTCTTTATTTTGTGCACAAGAGGTAGTCGGGAGGGCTTACTGCATTTCGTGACCCGTCAAAACCGCGGTCCACAAAAGCACGATCGATGAAAGCGCGCATTTGACGTCATCACAG